TCAGGGTCGACTTTCCTTTGTCGTTGCTCTCCTCGTTCAGTCAGAAACTGTCCATCTGTTCGGCCACGCTGGATGTCAGAGCGGGATCATTTTCCTGACATTTCTCGCTGCTTCGTCCGTCTGAAGTGTGAGTTCAGATTTTTGTGCAATTAGAAGCCCATTTAGCTTGAAATACAAATCTAAACTCACACTTCAAACGGACGAGGCAGTGAGAAATGTCGGGGAGATGATCCCGCTCTGACATCCAGCACGGCCGAGCAGATGGACAGTTTCCGACTGAACGAGGAGAGCAACGACAAAGGAAAGTCGACCCTGAAGTTACTTGATGATGAAATTACTAAAATATGTTTCGGCAAGGACGGTGCAAAGCATCGTTTAAACAAGGAAAATGGTTTAAAACTGCTTAAAAAGTTCATCACGTATTTGTGCTCCCGATTTTATACTCATAGGAAATTGTGTAGTGGTTTCCGGGATAAAGAAATCGTTTTTGCTCGAAGTCTTACTTCAGGGCTGAAGCAAACAGACGCTGAAATGGGGAGACGAAGGAGCTAGAGAGAGATGAATAAGGAATGAAATATTGAAAATGATAATACGAGTAACACTTTTGAAGAGATGGAGGGAAGGATATGGGTAGAACCTAGGGGTAAGCCGTTGTTTGCAATGACTTGCTACAACTTTTATACAGACTGATGCGCCTCATGCGTTAGCTTTTTTACAGGTGAGGAAGACATCCACAGTAACGTTTCGCGGGGGAAATTTTTCGACACTTTCAATAAATTCTCCTCTCAGAAAACCCCTTAGGAAAAACGCTATTGAGATGAAAATTTTTACTCTGCTGCATCTGCATACACCTTCCAAAGCACTGCAGCTGTACAAAATCGGTTGGAAAATCGAATCTGAGCGACAACTGCTCAAAGGCAACGTTCGACCGTTGTACCTTTGAAAACGCAGAAATCATCTGCTCAAAATGTGAAAAGTTCTCAGAAGACGTAATTTTTAAGTAAAGCTGTGCTTAGAAGCAAAAAATTTTGGCTTAAAAAAAACAAATGATTAATCTTGATAAGAAATGCGAAATTATATTGTCTTCGAGCAAGGTGAGAGACAGCAAGAGCATTATTTTGACCGAAGAACTCATTTTTGGCCATTTGCACTATTTTAGTCGGGTGACGAACAAAACCTCATGACTGCCGCTTTTTTCGTTGGAATTGGAACGTTTCTTACTGATTACAGCGATATGTTGAACAGGTTCTTCTGTACTGCCTGGTCAAACATTACCAAAAAATTGTGCAAAAAACGAGTGAAAAACAAAAACATAAGGGATTTTTTTATCAGTTAAAAATATGTCCGATAAAATAACATCTCTGCGTCTGATTGGCTACTCGCTTTATTTAATTCATTTATTAATAACTTTATAAACAAGGTGTACAAAATTGCCGTGCCTTATAACATGAGTTTCTAAATGTCAGCTGCGTTTTTACACTTTTATAGGTGTTTTATGCACTTTCATA